AACCTTATATTAAAGTATATATTATTAAACATTTAAAACACAAATAAACTTGTAATTACTACATGGGTTTGAATAATATTGCTCTGTAAACATTAAAAAAAAATCAAAAAAAACTAAAAATTATATAATTTTTTATTAATGAATAATTTGCACTGAATAATTGAAATTAAAAATATACAGGCTACCCGAATTCCATAGCAATATTGTGTGGAATAGGACGTTTTAAGTTTTAACTTTCAGAATTTTTCTAACAAATAAAATAAACAATAATTCCAAGTTATATTACAGTGAAAAATATGCCCGATTATGAAATATGTAGATACTTTGACGTAAAAAACTTTTGAATGCTTTAGATATGCTAAAAGTAACTTTTACCTACTTCAAGATAGTAATTTCTTATCCACATCATATCGACCAATTATTAAACATTACAAGGTAAACTGAATTCCACCTATTCTCGCCGACATCAAATAGGTATGAAAATAAATATCAATTTTTCAAATATTTCAATTAGAAACACATTTTATAAAGCAAAATATTAATATAACGATACCAAAAAAAATCTAAAAATAAAAAACAGACTAATACAGCAAAAAACAAAGAAATAAAATGTTGTGTAGGTGCTTATTAATATAGTAAAATGAAACAAATGTGTAGCGAATACAGCTTCTTATTAAAAAAAAAGGAAATGCCTATACATCAGAACTCTAGTGATAACTGACCAACTAATGATCTAATGAACTAATGGTATGATTTTTGAAGAAAAAAAATATTGATATGAAATCAGTAATTTATTAATAAAACATCTTTAACGTCATAAATTGTGTGTATATACGCTATTTTCAGTAGAAAAATAATTATTTCACCTCACTGCATACATACATTTAATATTATTTGACATTTGTTATATTATACAATCTATATTAAGTATCAATACGTTTTCTCTTATTTTTGAAATCGCGCACCATGATATCTTGCGTATAATATAGGACTACCATAATGTGCGTTTTAAATGTGGCAAGTTGTTTTATGACCCCTGAACCTTAACGGCAATAAGGTGTTGGGCGATTTATACCGAAGCATTGTTTTCTCCTTATTTTGTTCTCGTTACCAGTGTGAAGAATGTCTTTTGCCGGAACACACCCTTAACAGGGACGGCGGCGGGTGGCTGTGGGCACTTAATAAAAAGTACGTATACACACCAGGCCATTAAGTTTATGGCCAAAGGCAGCCACCATTAGCCCTATGCCCGTATACCGGATTAATTGCAATTTTTCTTATACACATACGACACAGGATACAGAAATCGGTGTAAAGTTATAAACCGGTTGGACTTAATTTATACCCCATAATAATGATATTTTATTTGCTACAATCAATGTACAGTAATAACTGTTCTCAGGGGATTATAGTATTACCCATCAATAAAGGCAAAATTATTGAGAATAAAATGTTGTAATAGAAATAAAAGTATTTAATATGTTGTTATTTTTTATTTAAAAATAATACCAATACGAATTCCCCTGCATAAGTAGACTGATATTTTCATTCAAATTAAAAAAATATGAGTGATATGATTTATTTATTAGTATACTTATACCTATCAGTACGACTGTACGAGTATATTACGAAGTTGAAATATTACTCGATTTATAATAAATATATTTATGTAAATATGTATCTGTATTTAAAAGTAAAAACCTATCAATTAGTTTTATTTTTTTACTACCAAGATAGTAAGGCAGGTCAAGGGTAGGTAATTCATAATAATGTTTCGATTTGGCAAACCAAGACAAATAAAAGTTAGAGTATATAGGTTTTATACCTCTTAAAAATCAACTACTTGTTGAAAATGTCTGTACATAATAGAAACAAAAAATTATAATTATTAAAAATTGGTATTGAAACAAAACTGTGAATATACATTATTTACAGATGCATAAGATAAATAAACTACATAGTACAGTGGTTATTCATCACAGTACAATGAGCTCTAACTTCGTTTAACATTATGTTCATAAAAATGAAAACATTGATTCAATTAACTTTAAATTGTTACTAATTATGCATAATCATTCGAATATGAAAAGCAATTTGTCTAAGTTCTGAACATATTATTTTGAAGGAATAAATCATTTTTAAAATGATGTCAGAATTTTCATAAAGTTATTTTTTTTCTGTAGGTAGACTTAAGCGGTTAATTGGAATCGGTTTTGGACAAGAATATAAAAAAAAAAACAAACCCGCAAACCTTTATAATAGTCTCCCATTTATATAACAGGGTGTATTAATAACCAGGACTCTCCCTTATCAGGTTGTCGTAGTGCCGTCATCTGTTGTGCTCAAAAACGACTCGACCTAATGACAATCGATCCATCACTGAAACATCTTGAAGATTTTCTTTGAACAAAATTTAATATTTTCCTTGCACGCATTTTAGTCTATGTAGTTCTTTGTGTTATACGTTTAAAATACACAATATTGTTTTCATATGAAAGTCTTAACATCTTATAAATGGAATTTGTTCGTAGATATTTATTAAGTAATACAGAGATTAAGAGTTTTTTTTTATTTATAAAAATACTTTAGTATAGTTGACAATTGTTTATTTTGTTGTTATTATTTATTAATCTAATTATTAAAATCTGTTTTATATGTTTGAGGAATTAACTAGAATGAAATTCATTTTTTCTTTTGGCTGATTCAAAAGCTAGTACGTGGGAATTCGGAAAACCTCCAATAAAATAATTTATACATACACAATAGATTATCATTTACTATAATGTTAATCAATCGAAAATTCTGTAAACATGGTTTACCTTCAAGATGAATACTACATTTTTAATGTAATGTAATTATAATATGAAAATATTATACAAATGTACAATATATTATTATATCATGTAAAAGGGACATTATTGGTCATAACCTCATATGCGTATACCTACTAAATTGAAAAAAAACTTCACTAAAATATTGGCAAAATCCTGAACTGGATTGTCTTGGATTACTGACTTTTTAACTTTTTGCACACTAAGTATAGTTTATATTATAATATATAACAAATAACATTTAAAAATGACTATTTAATTAACAATATCAATAATATACAAGTAGAAAATATAATCTGTAAAAACACCAAATATATTATAATATATTTAGGAATAACGTAAAGTACTTTGTAAGTGATCAAAAATAAAAATTGCTAATGACATATCATTTTTTTAAAAAAACAAGATACATCTTAATTATTACACTAATAAAATAAATGATGTATAATTATTTGTGATTATATTTTGTATTTGAGTTTGGGATGCAATCCTAACAGGATAATATATAATATGATAAATACTAGGATACTCGGTATTGTATACCTATTAATATATTATTATTTATTATACTATATCCCAGATTGCAAGTACAAAAATGATTATAATAATAAATCTTCTTGTTCAAAAAACAACTATTTTATTGGCGGAGTTTAGTTCAGTCAATAATGAATATTATAGTGTCTTAGAACTATTTTTTAAATTTTTGATTACTCATAAAAAGTTAATGATTAAAAATATAAATAAACATATTATAATTTGTTGTGTTTGTTTTAAACTAAATATTTTATTAAAACAAAATTTCTAGATGTAATTTTTTACACTTAAGACTATACGACACGAGCGATGGACCAAGGGTTAATAAAGCTGGTAGTAATTGAATTCGAACGAAGATTGGTACCAGTGGCTGATTGCTTGGAAGGACACGGAGGATGGTAGATGAATATTACTACTCTGGGGATCGAAATGAAAGCGTGATTAAATTTAAATAATTTATACTTGTCTCAAGGAATAAAAAGGGTTCTATAGGACAGGAGGAAAAATCGACTACACACACATATACACTGAGGTCTGTTATCGAGGAAACCTGCCCTTTTATGTCGCCAATATACCCACCCTTCCTTCCTAAATCCAAATTGTTTCTATTATATCTGACCCTGTCATCTGCAATTTTGTATTTGATCCGTTTTATTTAGCTTTGAACACTACGGTACAAACTCGACAGTGAAAAAAAAGTAAATGCTTGCACCAAAAAACAAAAATAAGCGCCACGCCCTATAAATGTTAGTATTTTTTTTTTTACTATTAGTGTCTACGATATTATCTTATTTTCAAAAAATAAAAATAAATAAATAATGAAATATCCCCTGGAAAAGACTTAACAGTTAATTCAATTATTTTATTGCTGACTTACGAAAGGGTCTGAATAATTTAAACCAACCAATATACAACTATTACAACTTGTATAGCTTAATCATAAACAATATGACATATTTATAACATAATTAATATTTATAATTTTATAACATAATTTTTTTTAATATACTGAACAATTTGAATATTAATCTACCTGGTCCGGTAAGTGATTTTAGCAATAAAGCTGTAAAATGTATAAGCCACATACATCAGCACCTATATAATTTATATTGGCAACCATATATAGAAAAATCAAATAAATACTAGAAAGGTATAGGTAATACTTTAATATGATTCTGGTTCAAATTATCATCAATGCATCAGTGTCAATCCGTGTATTCCTTATTGATTTATTAATGATTTACAATAATTTGAGGTATATATAATCAGGCGCGGATCCAAGGGGGGGGCCAAGGGGCCATGGCCCCCCCCGTAGAAAGGTGGATTTTCTATTATATCTATTTTCGGCAGCCGATAAAATGTATTGTTTTGCCGATAGCGTTTCGGCCGTTTCCGTTTTCATCGTTCGCCGTCAAAAAGCTAATCTAATCTAATCGAATATTTAAACTTGTTTGATGCAATAAAATGTCTGGCTGTATGTAGTACCTATCTATTTTATTATTGACGATATTTATTGTGTAATGATAATTTGTTAGTTGACATATAGTTACGATACAATACGCACACAGCCGCTGTAACTGTCGATAATCAACATCAAACGTGTCACGTGTATAGTTGTATTATTATTTTATTAAAATGTCAAAGCGTAGTGCCGATTTTATGCAAAATTTTCTTAAAAAAAAAAAATGTGTCATTAAAGACAATGAAATGGTAGACGACCCAGCTCCCATTTCGTCAAATCAACCTATGAAAAATGTAGACATTGATCCAACATCAAATCAAAACAAAGGTACTGTAGAAAATATAATTATAGATATTGGTATTGCATTAAGTTCAAAATCAACAATTGATGATTTTACTAAAAAACAGTTACTTGAAAATCATTGGAAACCACCAATAGGTTACAATTTTCCTTATTCAAGTCACACAAAAAATGGAATTCTTCGTAAACGATTTTTGAAACAAGAACATATAAATAAATATTTTTGGCTTGTTTTTTCGCCTTCAGAAAGTGGATTATTTTGTATTTATTGTTCTATTTTTCATAATAAAACTGGTCATGGATTTAATAACCATACTCAATTAAAGTCATTAGTAGTTGAGCCTTTAAAGAAATTCGCTAAGTTATTAGGAAAGGATGGTTACCTTGAAACGCATGATAATAATTTGTACCATAAAAATTCTGTACTGAACGGAAAACAATTTTTAAAATCGTATAATAATCCAGAGCTAGAAGTAGTAAACCAAATAAATTCACAGCGCCTAAAACAAGTTAATGAAAATAGATCTAGACTAAAACCTATAGTTGAAAGTTTGATTTTTCTCGGGCGGCAAAATATTGCTTTACGTGGTCATCGCGATGATGGAAGCGTTAATGATCTATCTGATAACCCATTAGAGAACGAAGGAAATTTTAGAGAGCTTTTAAAGTTTAAGATATTATCTGGAGATATCGCATTGGAAAATCATTTAAAAAATGCTGAAGCAACAGCTACTTATATAAGTAAAACGACTCAAAATACTCTTATTTCGATAATTGGAAATATAATTTTAAAAAATGTATTGAACAAAGTAAATAAAGCAAAATATTTTAGCGTAATTTTCGATGAAACAACTGATATATCTAAAACTTCACAACTGGTTATAGTTTTACGATACGTGTACGACAAAACTATAAATGAAGACTTTATTAGATTTATAGACTGTCATAAAAATAACTACGATCAATCTAGTGTCAATACTGAACCAAAAATGACCGGAGAAATAATAGGAAAAACTGTAATACATATTTTAGAAAATTTAGCTTTACCTATGAATAATTGTGTAGGAATAACTACAGATGGGTGTTCTGTGATGCAATCTGAAAAATGCGGTGCAATTAAATTATTACAATCTCAAATGAAATTTGCTGTAAAATGTTCATGTTTTAGTCATGCTCTAAATTTATCAATAATGAAAGGTTGTAAACAAACATTTGTTAGAAATGCATTTGGAATTATTAAAGAAGTAGTAAGTTTTTTCAATACTTCAGCTAAAAAAAATTTTGTTTTAAAAAATATTTTAAATACTTCATTAAAGTCTTTATGTGAAACTAGGTGGGTCGAAAAACATGATTCCATTATGCAGTTTTCTTCGAATTTGGTTTTAATTATTGAAGCATTAGATAAAATATCTGAATGGAACGATCTTGAAACGTCCTCAAAAGCGTCTATTCTAATAAAATCATTGTCAAGTGCGGAATTTATTTTAACATTAAATCTTATGTCCGATATGTTTTCAATAACTGCACCAATAAGTAGAATTTTGCAATCAAAAAGTCAAGATAAATTTTCGGCTTCTACATTAATAAATAATGTACTTAGTGTTTTAAAAGAAAAACGGAAAAACAGCGTTGAAAATTTTAATTTAATTTTTAATAATAGTAAACAATGCTTGGAAAAAATAGGAATTTTCGACGATATTAAAATCCCAAGAATAACAAAACAAATGACTAAAAGAGCTAATCCACCAACTAAAAATCCAGAAGATTATTTTCGTATCGTTTTGTTTATTCCATTTTTAGATGACTTAATTACCGACCTTGAGTACAGATTCGATAAAAAATCAGTGTCAGTGTTTGATTTAGATATAATTTTGCCAACGTTTATTCATAATAAAGACGTTTTTAATAACCAAAAAGAAATCCAAAATAAAATTAACAATATGATGGCACAATTTTGTGAATTAATATCTATTAATTTGAACTTATCGGAAGACCTCGTAAAAAAATATTTCGAAGGAGAGCTTCAATTGTGGCATACATATTGGACAAATGAAAAAGAAATTCCAAAAACATCATTAGAAGCTTTTGAAAGATGTGATTCCGAAACCTTTCCAATTATTTATAATTGTTTTCTCATACTCCTGACATTACCAGCCACTTCAGCAACTGCGGAACGAAATTTTTCTTCTCTTCGCCGACTAAAAACTTGGATGCGATCAAGAATATCCGAAGAACGCTTAAATGGACTTGCATTACTTAACTGTTATAGAAATATTAGTATTGACTGTGAAGAAGTAATTGACGAATTTGCCAAATCTAAAAGACGAATGGATTTTGTTCTGTGATCATTTTTTAATATTTATTATATTTTATTATTAATTATTATTTATTATATATTACGTGTCATTATTAATTAAACAATTTATATTACTTATCTAATTATTTAAAAGACGAAAGGATTTTGTTCAGTGATCATTTATTATTAATTATCTAATAATTTTATATATTTTATTGTACTGATAAACTGGTATTTAAATAATAATATTTATCTATTAGCTTACATGGTATGTACAATGTTTTTATAATACTTAGGCCGAAATTGTATTTAAGATGGCCCCCCCCGTAAATATGTTTTAGATCCGCGCCTGTATATAATACAAACTATCAGTATTTCAATGTTCAAAATGTCATAAAAATAAAAATAAATGTTCTCCAATATTTATACAATTCAATTTTTTGTTTAATTTGTAAATACTTATTAGTTACTAAAATATATACATTTAATTTTTGATTTTAAGACCAAAACACATAGTTCACATATAGGTATTTAATCATCAAATATTAGTTAGTTGTTTATCTTTTGCAGTGCAATATTAGTAAAATTAATCTTTATGGCAGTATAGACATTTATTATTATTTGTGGGTATCAAAATATGATTAGAAATTATCATTTGGAAAGATTACTAACACATGACTCTGCCTATAAATTTAAAAAAAGTAGAAGACATATTATAATTTCATTAATAATTGTTTTGTTGTTAACAAACATAATTTATTAATTCTATTATATTAGTGCAAAATAAGTAGATACTATATACCGTACTGTATGAGCAGATATGCTTTTTATAAAAACAGGTGAGTTATACAAAATATCTTATAGGTACTTTGTATATTATTTCTAACAACTAAAATACAGTATGTATTTTGTATTTATTTCAACATACACCTAAAAAAAAATGTTTTCACCAAAATCAATAAACATTAAACATAAGATACGAGGCTTATTCATATTTTATTTCTGATTATGTTTTGACATTATTCGCCAAATACTTAACTATATTAAGTAGGTAATAGCTAATAGGTATATCGTACATATATACCATGTTTATACAATAAATAAAACAAAACCAATTTATTACTGCATTACTCACAATTCTCACAATTTAAACTTGCAAGACATAAATAAAATACTTAATTAAATCTCACAAGGAACTGTGCAATTTATGGAATTAAATATAATATGTCCTTGGACATTTTAAAAGCAAAGTCAGTGGATTCTCATATTTTAATGATCACATTATAATAAAATGAACTGTGAAAATCTAAATTGCACGAAACCGGTATACGTTTTACATAATACGTGGATGTAATTTTAATGATTTATCTTGATTGGTTTAACATTTATAATAATAAATATAAATACGATGTCATACTTTCAGGTAAAAAAATATCAAAAGTACTCACAACGGTCACACCCACTTTGAATTTGATAGACGCAACTATATGTGTATATTGTACATAAAACATATTATTTCCACAAGAATATTAATTCTTCATATATTGCAGAGTATAGTCATTAAAATTCTTGATGATCTCAAGTACAAGTAACATAAATACAGACATCAATCAAATAATCTGGTGAAACTCATAATTTGACTTATTTTTTTAGTAAGAACAAACTAGGACTGTGATTTGACATGTTCACATTTTTTAATGTAAATAAACATAAATCAGTTATTGGCTTCTTGTCGTAGGTCAACGACTTTCGAAATCATTCAGAGTAAACAAGACGTGTCTATCTATGTTATAATATTGCGATCACTCAACGGTCAACTGTGTGATTAGATTTTTAGATAAATATTTGCTATAATATTTTTAATTTTAAGTTGAGCTCAATCAATTTATTGATTTTGTGATACTGTGAGTTTTTTTTTTAAATTTTAATTAAAAAATTTTTTGTACACGATAAGTAATCGAAATAATGTTTCGATTTTCAACTTCAATATATTTTCTGGTGGGAAAGTGAATCTAGTTGGTACATTCGAAAATCAAAATTTAAGATAAATTTCCATGATTACAGAAAAAAACAAAAAGCAATAAGGGAAAACGGGACAAAACCAATTTTGGTTTCTGTTTTAACTCTAAGAAATGAGATTTACAAACATCAATTAATGATCAAATATAAACTATTAATAATAATATTGTGTTGACATTAAATATGTATAACTCACTTACTCAAGATCAGTAAGTCGCTTATACACCAATATTACAAATCCTTTATGATACAGTATATACTATCATAGTTTATACTATATTTATAAAAAACATTTTCCATATTTTATAGGTAAACACTAATAGTTATAGTGAACCTGTAATCCATCTAATATAACTTATAAGTGAAAACTAAAACTAAAAAAACTTAGTAGATGACTGGACGTGTATGGAATAACACATATTATTATGTTCAAAATTTAAATAAATACGCAATAGTCAATTCAATAATTTAATTAAATCGTTTAATCTATTGAGATGTTCATTGTAGAAAATACAGATTTATTCAAAATGAATCATCAATGATTTCAACCTGGCTTCTTAGGTCACCTGTTTTTACCTCATAAAACTACCTAATTCTTTTGAAATAAGGCGTAATTCAACACACAACCATAGAGAAGTTAAAAAATGAGTGAAGTTAATTACAATGGATATGTGTGCAATTGTGTATTTGTGTGTAGTTCCTATTGTTGGGGATGAAACCAAGCGTAAAACATATTTTATAGGTACCTTTATGAATACATTTGTATTATTATTATTATTTTATTAATTAATGTATTATATATATATATTACTCTACGCCTGAAAACTAAAAATAAACGTAGTGAAGCATTTGAAATCAAATGGATCAGTTTGAATAATCCTATATTTTAACTTGTTTGTAAATTATAACAAAAATGATATTGACCCATTATTGAATGTACCTAACCTATTTAAATGTAACTTTAGATCTTTTATTTTACGATAATATTATAACCATTTAAAGTTATTACTGAAAAATTGCGTAGCTAATTAGTAATTACCAGTTACTATAGTTACAATTTTAACTTTGATCCGTGTGACTGATTACTGACCAACCCTTGTTCACCAATACCGATATGATACATATGTATAATTATTATTTAAATCATATTAAATACGTGAACACAGCCGTATTATTTAGGTATGCATAATTGTATTATAATAATACGATGATATAGGTACAGAGGCGAAAAATCAATAACAGTCGATCGTAAATTTCACTTAAAAGCCATTAGGGTTGTCGTCGCTGCAGTGCAGTTATAACCTTAAATTAGTTTCGCCGAAGGAGGCGTCCGTGGATGTATGCGTACTAAAAAGCGCGGGGATGAAAAAAAACTACAACGGCCGCGGTTGTTATTATATAATCCGCTAGCGCACGCTGCTCCGCCGGTGCCGCCGCGGCAATATTTCAATCGGCTCGCTAGCACGCGACAGGAGCGTCTTTTTAATGCGTTCCTAAAAACGAGGTTTAATTAATGTCGCGGCGGCTGCGGCACCGAAATTAATATCGGCCCCCTACAACTCTCGTTTGCTTCTTCTCTCTTTTTTTTCCTTCTGCAGCTTTCCGCGATTTTTTTTTCTTCACTCGTTACACCCTCCGTCTTCGCGTTACACTAATATATAAAATATATGCGGACCGAGTGGCCCATAATGGGCACTGTTTAACATGATAAATCCATTTGTGTAAAGACCCCGTGCGGTAACCGGAGAAAATGAGAAAAACTCGTGATTAGCAAAATCTTAAAACGAAATCCGCGACAAGTGCCGAAACCTGACGATGGCGTATATATGATGATGTCCGACGGAAACACGGTAGGATTTTGATGGTAGACATAAACAAATTGATCTGAGACTTTTTTGTTTTGTTGCTACTGTATTCCGTATGGGATTTCACTTCTACAACCTCTATGATAATTTCATATTTATTAAATTTTAAATTTTTTTTATATCATGAAATTCTTTTTGCTGGGTAGGTATACATCAAACGGAAATCTGATACTATTTATTTAATATAACAATAAATGTTCAATTTTTAACTGCAATCAAATATGTGGGGGGTTGTACAATGATGCGCTCATTAAAGGATATGCTGACTTACGTAGAGGTAGATGGCCATAGATACATTAGAGTATTAAACTATCTGAAAGACATCAAACACAAAAACCCATAATTTATAAGTCAGACGATTTTTCCCACCAATAAAATGGTCTCCACGATCCCATGACGCTGCGCCAATTCGGATGCGTAATTAGTTCGTACTTATGTCAGTTATAGTTAGGTACTATTTGCGTCGAAATATTGGTGGATACGAATTTACGATATTTTTTTTGGCGGACGTTTCTTTGGAAATCGCCGTGAACGTTGGATTGAAAAACACGTGTAAAACGGTCTGACCAATCCCGGGACGGCATGCAATACGTCATTGTACACAGTGTACAACACAAACTTTCAAGATG